ACTAATTTTTCCTTCAGCAAATTTCATGGGTTTGGTTTTGACAAAATCTAACACAACCTGTTGATTCCTTGTGTGTAACAATAATGAGAAAAGGCAAATGACTGTCAGAAAACAGGCAGAATTCTAGAATGCTCTTTTTAAAGTTGTGATGCAACTACTGTTTACAGAAAGTGTGAATTTTTTGTTTCTTGTCTTTTGAATTTTTAATCGTAAAAAAATTTGTTGATACTTGGATCATTAACAATTGTAATTATTTTGTGCATTTATTGATAAAAAATTATTTCTTATTTTTTTATTTAAAAACATTAAAATCTATTTTATTTTGTTTACTTTGTGTGTTGTAAATTAAATTAAAAAAAGTCCAGCATTTTGCCGATCTTGTTTAAATAAAATTATTTTTTCTGATGATGCGATTTGATCAGCGAAACCTGGTGAAATAAGTTTTTTAAATTGTTTTCTATATTTACCATTTACTTTCTGCATTTATGAATAAGTGTTTGTTCATCTTACTTCAAATGTTATTTTTTGGTGGATACTCGTGTTTGAAATAGATGAGCAGATTTTTTATTTTTATTTCAAGCAGTGCATATTACAGTCTATCAACCTGTGCACACTTCTTGAGCAAACTTAATGAAGAAAATGTGCTCTTAGACCAGTCTAAAGCATGCCAGATAAAATGATGGTTTCTTCTATAAAGATAGCTGCATATTCACACCCTGCTGAAAAGCAAATTTCCTTTAACTTTTCTGGAGTAGTACATGCCGGCTAATAAACTCTAATATGCACAGTTTAAAACAACAACAATAATAAAAAAAACGGGGCATCTATTTCAAACACAGGTATCCACTAATGATAACTTTTGAACTAATAAAAATTCCGGATTAATGATAAATCCATTAATTCCATATATATTTCCTGAAAATAGATGAGCAGGATTTTTTCCATCTTGAATATTTGTGTATAGATAAGTCTGAAATTTAAATATTTGTATACAAGCTTTTATAACACTATGCATTCTGATAGTTTAAAAGAAATATATGTATAAAAATGCATGGATATATATATATATATATATATATATATATAGCTGAGACCTGATTGAGTGAACTTGACTGATTACTAAAAGTTTCATATACGAAACTCTGGAGTTGGGTGCTGAATATAACCTCAATCAGCTAAGTGACAAATTATATATATATATATATATATTTGAACATAACTTCATATTACTATAACAACCAAATATCTCATTTTTGTAAGGAAATGAGACTACTAATATTGCTTTCATTTCACTTGTTTTCTTTGGATATTTTCACTTTTTCTTTTTCTTTTAAAGTTTAATAATTTCAAAAGCAAAATTCTTTCTTAAATGCAACAACGGAATTAATTGTAACGATAAAAATCTGAGATTACTTAGGCAGAAAATATAACCAGTGAAATTGCAATATTATTTAAATATCTTCATGTTTTTAATGGTACGGCTTGTGTTATCTTTGGATATTTTCACTTAATGATTTAAAACTAGAATTATTTCTCACATGCAACAAGAATTAATTGTAGAGATAAAAATCTAAGTTTACTTATACAGAAAATTTAATCAATGCAGTTGTAAAATTACTTGCAACATGATGCAAAAGTTTATTTACATCATGTCGCAAATGAATGAGTATTTAAATAAAATTGATTATGTTAATATCAAGAATGGTGCCTGTTGGCTTAATGGCTTATGACATAAATAAGAGAATCAGAAGAGAATTCATGTTGTCGTTAGGGCTGTTTGTAATCACTTGACACTAAAGTCCTTAAATATAATAAATAACAGGGAAGTTGGAGCCCTTTAGATTTGTAAGGCAATTCATCATGTGAACATGACCTCATAAAATATTCACTTGGTATTGAAATGGCAGCAGTATTATGTTGTGTGGTCATAGCCTTAATGCGTCACAAGGTATCTGCAGAAAGAAACTAAGTCTGGTTCTTTAGCAGGCCTTAATACCTTCTCAAGCTCCTTTAGCATATAGACTTGTGTATAAACTGACTTCATGTATAGTGTGACTCCTGAAATTTTTGCATGAATTCCCCCCCCCTCCAGAAAAAGTTTACTTCTCAAAAGTGCAACCAGTCACCGAAAATGCATGATTCTTAACCTCTTTGAAAAAAATTACCTTTGTACAGGGTGCGATAGCTAAATTGTCGCCATTTTATATTTTTAATTTCACACATGCACTTTGTTTTTGATTCTGTCAACTGCACATTATAGTAGTAGTATCTCCATAAACTGTGCCCCTTACTCTGTAATACTCTACCTCGAGTGGCTCTTGGGTTTTGTACAGGGTGAGCATTATTTAAAATAAAATGATGGAATATAATCACTAATACAAAAGAAAATACTTTACACTCCAATTTTACAAACTTATTTCCTTTCTATAAATCCACCATTTTTTTTTTTTTTTTTAAATTCACCAGTGACATATGTCCGTCTGGTTCTGTGATTCATCTTCATATAAAGAGGAAAAAAAGAAAAATTCCTAGTACCAGATTTATCTTTGTGGCTTAGATTAGTGAGGAAGTAAATGTAAAAAAAAAAAAAATTGCATACACCCAAAGAAGTGTAGACAGCCCACCCACTGATATGGAGTGACTGAAACAACAAAGATAAGGATACTAGATCAAATAAGTAATTGAATAAGGAGACTACTTTTCCTTTGCTTTATAGTTATTAAATTTTTTTTTCTTAGCTGCCTACACATTGAATTGGTATCTCCTTCTGTATTATTACTGCTATTTTAATGTAATGTCTAAATATGAATGATTTGATGGTTGTAGAGAAACCATGTGTACTGCAGCCATAGCTGTAGTGGGTGTGTCTAGGGCAAATTAACCTGGAGTAACCCATACTTCATTAGGCTGTTTTGAATACAGAGTTGTACTTCTCTTAGACTGGTTTCCTTTCCAAGGCTAAAGAGTCTAGTTTTCTCTGCTATTTAACCCATTGCTGGAGGAAGATTAATTCATGCGTTTTCCAAGGATATTAGTGCTTAATAAATGAAGCAGACTTGGGCAGAATTTGAATGTGTCACACCAATTCCAGTTTTTGTAACTCTGTACACATCTAAGTAGGAACATATTTCTTGTAATGTTTTTTTAAATACAAATACTAACATGATTTCTTCTGTGACCTTTTTTTTTTTTTTTTTCCATATAAATGTGTTATGTTGTCTTCATTGAAATGAGAAATGATGTGGATTGAGTTTTTGCCTCATTTTTACATGTAAGATATTCATGAAATGTGAGACCATTTTAATAACTGATAGATCCCTGCAATATTCTGATGTTTTTATTCTACTTCTATATGCCATGTCCCTTTAAGACATTGACAATCATAATTTTCCACAATTTTCTGTCCTTTGTAGCTTTTAGTAAAGTAAATCTTTTGGTTATGTGTCCTGTGAGTATCAAATTTTCCAGGCCCTTGTAGAATATTGGTCAGCTTGCAAGTAGTCTGACATACAAGTAAACTGGTGTAGTCTCTTCAACCTAAAATGCAGCTCTGAGTCATTTAATAGAGATATATATGGGTGAATAGAGTCCACTCATGCAAATGTGTTGGGCAGGTCCATTCCAGCAAAATGGACCTACCCACTTGCTGCATTCGGGGCTCTCCTATAAATGAGGTAAATAAGCTGGCTTGCTTTTCCAAGAAGATACAAGAAGGCAGCCATGTTAGCAGGTAAGTCATTTGACTTCTACATCTCCCGCCTCTTCCCATTTCAGAAGTATAGCAGCCGTTGGGGAGCAATCAGTTCCTTATTGCCTGGCCGATTATATGGGAGTAGCCGGGATAGTGCCCTGGGGATCCCTGGGATGCCAGGTCAGTTTGCAATGTAATGCCACCATTTCCTGATTCTTTAGCAGATTGATGTGGCCTACACATATCTGTAATTGTCAGTTCAGGGGACACAGGCAAGGCACTTGGTATAGGGGTCTTGATTATGGGCGCTTCAAGTTTTATTAGTAATCTACGGTTCCGCAGGGTTATTCTACCTGATCCTGCAACTCTAATCCTATATTGACGGTTTGGAAGTGTCTCTACTATTTTCCCAGCTATGTCCCATTGATGGCTATTTGGGTTTTGAATGGAGACTGTCACCCTTACGAAGTGGGGATAGGGTATGTGCAATACGATTGTACCTCTTGATGAGGTCTGCGTTGCGTTTTCACATTTTTGGGCTGCTGCTATCCATTCAGGGTTTGGTTTGTATAAGTTTGGGTGCGATGGGATAAAAAGGCATCTATGAAGCAGGAGTTCTGCTGGTGATAAGCCGATGCCTTGGATAGGGGTGTTTCTATATTGCAGGATCGCTTATGCTGCCATGTCATTGTCCAAGGAACCCTGGTGTCCTGTGCAATCCTTTATGAGTCTTTTTGCAGTCTTGACTGCTAACTCTGCTCACCCGTTAGACTGGGGATAGGCCACTAATAAAATTCTTTGTTTAACAGCTCAGGTTTTTAGGAACTGTTGGAATGAGTAAGCTGAGAAGGGAGGTCCACCATCTGTACTAAGTTCCTCAGGTGCACCATATGTTTGGAATATTTCTCTGCAGATGGATTGGTTCATGTGGTAGACTTGGGGCATTCCTTTACTCATTATATACCCTAGAAATTTCAACCATCTCTTCTTTATGTTAAGTATAAGTCATTTTTGTTTCCATTTTCTCCAAAACATCATTGCTCTCATGTTTGGTCCATGGTATTCTCAGCATCCTTCTATAGAATCACATTTCTGTTGCTTCAAGTCTCTTCTTCATCAGTGACGAAATAGTTCAGCTTTCATGCCATATAGGAGGACTGATATTATATAACCATTTAGTACTCTTTTCTTTGTTTCTAACAAAAATTTTGTTTCTTAACATTTTGCTTAGCTTTTGAAAGACATCTTTTGCAATACTAATGCACCTTCAGATTTTGTCATACTCTCCATTCTCAGGTTATGGATATATCACGTTGAAACACCAGTTCTTGTATGATCACACAAGTTAAGCAATGTTGACCCTAGTCAGTACCTAGATGGTTGACCTCTTGGGAATACCAGATGCTGTAAGCTTGAATATGAGGGTGGTGTAATATATAACAGCTTGGAATTGGAAGTCAGAGAGCCAGGTTCCAATTCCAGTCAGGTTCATTATATTCATTTATGCACAAATATTCTTGGGAAAGGTGTAAATCCACCTCTTCTCCACCAGCTATGGATTAATTAGTAAGACATGTATCATTAAATCATCATTATCTCCAACAAATTCTTACAATCTAAAAATAATTTCTAGTTTCAAATAGCTTTCAAAAGATTGATAAACCATAAAAAAAAAACAAATCAATCAACTTTCCATCAGCTAGCAGTTCCAACACTTCTTTGTGACATACCTTATCAACACTTTTCATTAATAACATTTTATCTTTATTGATTTTTATTATGCTTTGTCTACTGTCCCCATTGTCTGGGTATATGGTTGCATTTTGATGCCTCATTTTTTTTTCCTCTAAGAAAAACACTACAGTTTAACAAGTTTGCATCTCCTCTCCCCAAGTTTAAAACAACAGCTCCAAAAATGTCTTTGATGTTTCAAAGTACTGAATTACCTAAAGCAACAGGGGTTTCATTTTCACACCTTGGTGAAAGCTTTGAGTCTGATGTCAATTCATTTATCTCTCTGTAAAATCCACTATTCACTAAATAAATATTAGCTTATGGTGTGCCAAGCATCCCAATTACACTCCCTCAGTTGCCTAGTTTTTGTCAGGTAAGCCAGCAATTGAATTCAGTGCTTATATACTTAACTATATCTACCTCCTTCAGCCAAGAAAAAAAAAAGCCTTGTGATTCTTCTTGAAAGTAAGGAAAGAAAATGAAGACAAGTTTTTTTTTATTCCAATTTACTTTGGTGTGCATGTCTTTCTGATGAGGCTTTGCAGGCTTTATTTTTTTGGTAATATCAGATTTTTTCTTTTTCTTTTTCTCTTTTGCTCTATTTGTTTTGCAAAAGCTTAGCTGTCAAAGGAAAAACAATGTTTATTATGGCAAAATGTTATGTAGCAGTTGTTCTAGGCTGGATGTGTTTTGTTGTCACACTTGAATGAACTTGTCTATTTGTTCTGTCACATGTTTTCTTTGTTGCATTTTGTCTTAGATTTTAGTTTTCTTTGGGTTTTATTTAATTTCTGTATTTTTTCAACTTGTTATTTCTTTGTCCTTTTTGCTTGTTGTTGCTTTTTTTCCTTCATTCACTCCTTTTGTCGATTCATTATTATTTCCTTAATATCCCCTGTTTTTAATTTTCATCCACCCCCTTTTTCTTTATTTTTTTTTTTTAAACATTCAGGTATGAAGTACTCACATTTTTATCCTATTTTTAGAAGGAATGTCTCTGTTAATTGATTGATAGCAGGTCACTCTAAGGTCTATTGACTTGATAAAATGCCTTGGACACATGCAATATATAATTTTTCAAGGAGCACTCAAAATTTAATATATATATATATATATATATGTTTTATTTCACTGAAATATTTTACTATTTTAATAATTTTGTATATTGTGCACAGTTCTCATATAGTTCTGAGTTTGTTTCTCTTTTTGGCACTGAGTGGCAACATATGAACCCATGAGGATTGAACTCCTGATTTGTGACTTTTTTTTTTTTTTTACTCATTTCATGCCAAGCAAGGCAATAAAGCTACCAATTTTCAAGGGGTTACTGAGTGTGAAAAATAGAAGAAAAAGAAAAACATTAAGGTAAAAGAACAATAAAAGAAAAGGAATTAAGAAGACAAAAGATAACAAGAGAAAGCTCAGCAGAACAATTAGTGTGAAAGTATTTTTAGAAAAGGCACAGGGAAGCTATGTATGATGGTAGGAAAGTGACTAAAACTAAGATGCCAGGTAAGGACCAATAACATTGCAGATTCTTCATTGGCTTTTATCAAGAATCTCTAGATATATAGCAGAAGCATCAGACCATCAGATGTAGCAGCCATATTCAGTGCATGGATGAATGGTCAACTTATAAATGTGTAAGATAGATTCTGGCAGGAAAAATTGTCTAGCACAACACAGTGAACCAATTTTCCTAGTGGCAACCCTAGTTACTGATTCAATATAATCATTCCACTTCATATCAGTGGAAAAATTTAGCCTGAGAAAGCACAATGAGTTACTCTTGTGGAGGTTAGTATCAGCCATGTTGATGGAAGGTAAAAAAGGTTCTGTTTTGGAGGTGTTAAAATTAACAAGCCATTTCTTATCCCAATTAACAGATTGTAGGTCATTTTTGAGATCACCTGCCAGTTTGATTTTATTGAATCACTCAGTCTTAGCATTACGATAAGAATAAATAGTTGTCATCAGCATAGATATTGGGTTGATAACTGATGACACCGGAAAGGTTGATGAAAATTAGGAACATAGGTTCAAGAATAATACCTTGGGGATCACATATTAATGCAAAAAGATCGAGAAGAGTGGCCATTCAAGACAATCATTTAGTAATTTGATAAGACAACACTTGCATTATTAATTTACTAATTCTCACTTTCTGATAATTTTTTTTTTTATAACGTTTGTAAATTTAGTATATTTCTTTATACAGTCATTTAATTTGCTTTAACTTTTAAAAGTTTAACACTTTATTTATTTTTTGAAAACCATATGATCATTTTCCAATGACCCAACAATAAGATAATCATGCATTCTGGAATCTAATTTTTGTAAGAGGCTTATTGCCATATTACATTGAAATCCCAGTTTCTGTCTGATTATTGAAGTTAAGCAATGGTAGGGCTTGATCGGCTACCACTTGAGAATATCTGGTGTCGTAAGCTTGTATGTGTGGGTAGTAAAATGGATATTGGCTTGAAATGAGAAATTGGAAAGTCATGTTCAGATTCCAGTCAGGTTTGTTACATTCACTTACATGCAAATAACTTTGGTAAAGGTCTGAATCCACTTCCCCCCCCGCCACCCAGCTGTAGGCTTTTATCTGAAAATTATTATCTCCAAAATATTGTTAACTAGCAGCCATAGCCAGTTGGTCACTCAGAAAAAGTGTTCACTTAGAATGGAGAAAAAATAGCATCATGTTTAGATGTAACAAGGGTCTATTTTCTTCAATTACTTTAAAATACTTTCATTAAAAAACATTTTGAATTAATGCAGTTACTGATATAAGAGAATTAGTCTGTATCTATTCAATTGAAGTTAGCTGAGGAAATGAAGGAGTAAAACTGGCAACATGAAAACCCATTTTAGACCACAGTTATTTTGGAGTTTTTGAAATTCAATTTGTCAGTGTGCTACCAGGGATGTAAAAGAGGATACATTTATAAAGCTATTAAGTTTGATGAAAATTGATTGAAAGATCAATGAAAAATAAGAAAGAAACAGGTAAAAATTGTCATTTTTCGATATTTATATGAGTTTTCACTATATGGGTGGACTCAGTTATCAAGTTAAATGACTGTTAAACAATCAACTTGTTGACTACAACTGAGTGAAGTTTAAAATTTGTGTTGAAATAAATTTTTGGTTTTTCGCAGTTTTTCACTAAACCCAGTGGTGTAAAAATAAAAATGAGGTATTATTGAGCTCGTCATGATGTAAGTAACCTACATATCGAGTTTGAATGAAAAAGTTGAATCTTCATTGATTATTGATTTTTAAAAATTATTGTTTTTTTTTGTTTTGTTTTTTACACTAAGAAATTATCTCTTACATTGTACAATGTATATGTATACCAAGTTTGGTCAAAATTGGTTGGCTGGATGAGTGAAAAGGTATCATACAGGCAAACAGACTCACACACACAAACACATCCATCCTCTGTTTTATATATATAAATACAATATTCCCTTGCAAAAAAAAAAAATTCCTATAATTGAAAAATGTTTTGGTTTTATATAACCTACAAAAGGTTGATAAGCCTGAAAACACAAAATAATCAATGATTTTTTTGTGTATAATTTCTTTTTCTTTGCATAAAATTCACTTTAACACATGCTGCAGCTGTTAATGTGCATTTTCTAAATTTTCTTTTATTCACACAGAAAAAAAGAAAGAGGAAGACTGTAATTTTGTAAACTTTCATTTTTTTTTAACAATTGACACAACAAAAATTGCTTGTTAATCATACCTCAAAATGTTAACAAAATTAACTTTGCATCTTTTTATCACATTTACCTTTTTGTTTTTAATTATATAGTTTTTAAAGCATATAATTGTGTTTGCAGAGATGGGTAAATAAATTGTTTTTTGTATATAAATATCTATTTTGTTGATTGAAGGAAGACAATTTTATTCTCACAGCTGTGACCCACAAATTCTAATTCTTATATTACAAATGTAGATTCAGACAGACTATGAATGGATTAGGATTATTTTTACTGTATAATTTTTCAGAGTGTCACATATCGTCCTCATGATTTGGATTTTGATCAACAAGTAAATACAAATTGTTACTTTTTCTGAGGCATTACTTTTGCTAACTCACTTTTTTTAAAGCTTGTGTTGGTGGCCTTGCTTTAATTTATAAAGTCTTTCTTAAACAGAAATGGCAGCAGCATTAAAAATGCTGTTTCTATATGAGGCAGAACTAAGCTGCTTTTGTGTTTTAATAATTGACTTGTCTGGTTAGCTGATACCTGAAGACTGTAGTTAAAATGACATCATTTCTTGAAACGTAAATTTACTTCCATTTTGGTATATCTTATATAAATTTCTTTATTCTCTAGCACCATATTTTTGTAGTCATTTCTTTTTTTAAATTTTTTTTATATCCTTTGTGATTGACTAATGTGATGACAGTCATACCTAATGTTTTTGTTCCTCACTTTATAATGGTCAGCATTTTAAATTTAAACTGTGACCTACCTATTGTATCAAATGATCTTCATTATTCATCAGCTACTTGTTTTTCTTTCTTGCTTTCTTTGGTTTTTTTTTCTTTTTTTTTTTCTTTAAATCATTTAGCCCTGAGCAATGTGATAATGACACAAAGGGTTACTGGGAGTGAATGAGAAGAGTCTTTAATGAGGAGAAAGGACAATAAAAGAA